CAATTTACTTTCTTTCTTATGCCTAGGTGCTACCTTCTTCCCAGTTCCGTAAGTCCCATGGAGTTATTTTTTATCTTTGATTCCCAAACGCTGCACGCAAGTCAAGCTTACAGAATTCCTGCCGGGGCGCCTTCTTTCTTATGCCAGCCAAGTAGCAATCAGAAAACCAATCAATCTTCCTTACACTACGACAATTCACTTAAACTACCAACATCATGAGTGACCCAGGCCGGCCGTATATGCGTCATTTCTCCTCATCCTTGTCTCTATTTGTTAATTGCTCGCTACCCGTAGTGGGCCTTGAGTAGGATTTAAGCACGGGTTTCGAACCGTCTACTTTTCCTTATCCTTATGGGAATTTAAGAGAGAGATCACTCCACTGAGTAACCGAGAGAGAAGATTCAGGCAAGTATGTCGTACCCTATTTAAAATAGAGGCAACGAACCACCAATCCATTACGATGCCCGCAAAGAAAACCAACACTTAAGACGCTATTGGAGACTAGCGTAGCTATTATTCGAAGCTTATTAATTTCTTTACTGCGCTCAAGGCATGACCGCGTGATAGGTGTCCTTTTCCCCCTACTCAAGAAGAGTTACATCTAAGTTCCAATCGTGATATGACAAACAAATCTTACTTTTTCTTTCCCAAGCTGGCGCATAACCTCTGGACCGATAGGAAGATCGATGACCCGCATCCTACAACTTCAAAGAAGTATTTGTATCACACCCGAGCAATGGACCGGGGAAGGAGTTTCATTCATTTGTGCAGTTTGGAAGCGAGGACGATCCAGGATCGACTGCTATCTGAAGAAGTGGAATGGATCTGATTACCCATTGGCGTCTACATTGACGCTTCTGACTACCCCTACTCTGTCTTTTGCGTTTCCTTATTCATGTACTCATGTCTATTTCTATTTGTATGATACTGATATTGCAATCGATCTATCCCTTGGTCCTCCCAATCGAATTCTTAAGTATGTTTTTTCCCTTTCGAGAAATGGTGGCAGTACCAAATGCCGAATTAGCGGCTGTACCAAATGATCAATGCCTCTAGGGTTTCCCTTCTCTTCAGCTCTCCCCGGTTTCACCGATGTGTTGGGCACTGAACACTTTTCAAGATCCGGTTTTGGTAGGACGAAGATTTTTCACTTTCGTGAAGGTCATTCTGAGGTGGAATCGAACCACTCTGTTAGGATTTAGAGTCCAACGCGCAAAGCTAAAGAGGATTTCGAGACCTCTGCTCTAACCAGCCAGAACCTATAATACAGGGTTTGTGATACTGAACACCCACATAATCTCGATTTGACATGAGAGAGAGAGAGATGGCGATGGCAGTCTCTCTCTCTCTCTCTCTCTCTCTTTTTTAAGGGTCAACTGCGATATTATTGACAGGCAAAAACCAATGTTCAATTCATACTTCAGATCTTGAATCAGGCCTCTAAGAATTCTATGGCAATTCATACTTTCTTAAGAAATAAGAGAGAATCTCCTGGTAGAGGCGGTTATGCCTCCCAAGCGATATTCGCTGAAGGTATCTATACTCATCCTTCAGCTTTATTAGACCCCTCTCACTTGGTTGACAACCAATGACCCCCTTATGTAGGAGGAACTCATGTACGCCTTTTCAAACCTTTTTAGGACATGTTGTGTGTGCCCTCGACTTAGCCGTCTTAGAATAGAAAGGTTTCGCAGATTCAGATTAGAATGCACTAAACACTTTTCCAGATTTGGTTTTAGTGGGACAAGTGCACTGAAAAATCTTTGATTCTCGTCTCGTTTCACTTGCATTTGCTTTCGTTCTAAAGTGGAATCAAACCACTCACTCCGTTTGGATTTAGAGTCCAAAGGGCCCAGGCCCAGCGAACGGAAAAGGATTTACAGTCCCATACCCACTGCCCTACCTTCACCTTTTGATTGCTTTATTTTTATATGATTTTTTGGGCAACTAGCGCGAAAGCCGTTGTGCGTTAGCGCATTCGGAACCACACATTTTTATACAATTTTCGGATCATTTGATTTTCGTTTTGAAAACTTTAAAACCTTATCAGAGAGGGGCCACTAAGGCTGGATGTTGGCTTCAAGAAATCTCCTTTAGCCTTACCCTGGGCTTTGACCATGTCTCCCGAACAATTTCAGTACATATGGTGCAAGACGATTCCACATATATATCGAGGTCGGTATGGGATCAGGTGTTTTCACATCTCACCGTAGTGCCCGGTTTGTCTTGATTGGTGATTGATAAACAAAAAGGAAAATGGAAAAGTAGAAAATCTACATAAGCTTCTGTTGAGGTCCTTAGTTTAGTCAAGTAGGCGAGGATTCAATCCAGCCACAGGTTCCCCTACGTACCTTGTTACGATTTCATCCCAGTCGAAGACCCCACCGTGGTATGCGCCAATAAGACCACCAAAGGCCTCTGTGACACTAGTGGTACACATAAGTCATGGGTGATCATTGGTCCGATGATTCGGGCGAAACCAATTCCCAGGGTGTGACAGGCGGTGTGTACAGGGCCCGGGTACATATTCACCGCAGCATGCTGATCCGCGATTACTAGCGATTTCAACTTCATGTTCCCGAGTTGCAGAGAACAATCCTAACTAAGGCAATCTTTCCGGATTCGCTCCGCCTTACAGCCTTGCTTCCCATTGTCATTGCCATTGTAGCACGTGTGTGGCCCAGCCCATAAGGGCCATGCGGACTTGACGTCATCCCCACCTTCCTCCAGTATCTCACTGGCAGTCCCTCGTGAGTGCGGCACGCACCTTTTTCTTTGTTTTGGAGCGGGGCGCGTACTATTACCACTACGTACCACAATTTCTCCTTAGGCGCATGTCTCATCAACACAAAATGAGGGTTTCACTCGTTATAGGACTTGACCAAACATCTCACGACACGAGCTGACGATAGCCATGCAGCACCTGTATGAAAGTCAGTACCATCCCATTAAAGACAGGTTTTGTTGTTCATATGTCAAGGGCTAGTAAGGTTTTGCACGTTGTATCGAATTAAACCACATGCTCCACCGCTTGTGCAGGCCCCCATCAATTCCTTTGAGTTTCGGTCTTGCGACCGTACTCCCCAGGCGGAGTGTTTCACACGTTAGCTAGGCCCCTGATCCGCGTAGACCAAGGGCGAACACTCATCATTTACGGCATGGACTACCAGGGTATCTAATCGTGTTTGCTCCCCATGCTTTCGCACCCCAGCGTCGGTAGGGACCCAGAGAGCTGTCTTCGCTTTTGGCGTTCCTTCATAGATCTACGGATTTCACCCCTACACACGAAATTCCACTCTCCTCTGTCTCACTCAAGTGAATTGGTTTCGAGAGCATTCCGCCACTTTTTGGCGACTTTCACTTTCAACCTGATTCACCGCCTACGTGCCCCCCTACACACGAAATTCCACTCTCCTCTGTCTCACTCAAGTGAATTGGTTTCGAGAGCATTCCGCCACTTTTTGGCGACTTTCACTTTCAACCCGATTCACTGCCTACGTGCCCTTTACAACTAGTCATTCCGAAGAACACTTGCCCCCCCCCCCTTCCTTACCGCGGCTGCTGGCACGGAGTTAGCCGGGGCTTCTTCCTTGAGTCTTGTCATGATCGCGCACTCGACGAAAGAGCTTTACAAGTGGCATTGCCCTTCTTCACTCACGCGATATTGCTGGATCGGGCTTTCGCCCATTGTCCAAGATTCCCCACTGCTGCCCCCCTGAGAGTCCGGGCCATGTCTCAGTCCCAGTGTGACTGATCATCCAAAAAGACCAGCTAAGCATCATTGGCTTGGTCAGCCTTTACCCGACCAACTACCTAATACTACGCAGGCTCATCAAACAACGCTTTTGAGCTTTCTTCAGGATTTGGCCCAAACTGTTCGGCAGATTCCCACGCAATATGAATGCGGGCAATGCTAGAAAGTCTTACATTATAAAATGGAGGGAGCAACTAGTAGTATATTTTTTTAAGATACTAGAATAGAATATTCTGGTCTTTACTCAATGAGTTACAACCAATTATTACAACGTAACACACAAATTAACTAGTACTAGCTAGTTTATTACTCCCTCCGGGCTGATAATACTTATCGTTTTAGATAAGGGTGATGTCAAACTTTAGAATCTTTGATTATGAATAATTTTTAAAATATTTGTCTTTCAAATATGGTGACTATATGTATAGATTAGTCTTAAAAAGTATTTTAATAAAAACATATATTTGTTAATATTTTTATACATATTATAATAGAAAATATTGGTCAAATTTGTTTTTTTGAAACCGTGTCTTTGTCCAAAACGACAAGTATTATCAAGCCGGAGGGAGTAGAATTTTATTAATAATCTTTAATCTCCTTAACCAAGCCCTTTAGACAGCTTTTGTGGCTGTCATGCCGTGGTAGTCAAAAGGCCCATGGCTTCGCTTCCTAGCTGGGATTATGGGCTCTGATTCTATTTGCGGTATCGCGCGCAAATCAGTCAAGCAGGCTTGTCGTCTCGTCGAGCAGCCATCGGCCCATCTCCTAGTCGGCTTGTCGTCTCGTCTCGAGCAGCTTGGCTGCTTTGCTTGGCTCATCCTTGCGTGTTTTTTTTTTCCTCCATTTTTTGGTGAAAGGGGGCCGGGTCGTCTTTGGGAGTTGGGACCACGCGTTCGGAGCTCGAAACCTTTTAGAAGCTCAACGAGGTTTTTCTTACTGCAGCTCTAGCTACTTCGCTTGCAGCGAAGAGCGCATCCATGGTCAGCAATCCCCGTGATCGGCCGCATATATACATACACTCAGTGAGACCGATTCTCCATATTTCTACACGAAAATTAGAAATTGCTAAATCAGATTACGACCTCCTTTCTCAATAGATCGACATCGTTAATTTTTAACATTACGTCCACTCGAAAATTTTATATAAACATCATTTTTATATCGAAATCATTTTTTTCGTTATAGCATATTCTATCTTAAAGTAATTTTGAATTAAACTTATACTTTAGTAATTTATAATATTGTATTAATAAAAGATAAAACGTTGTTTAAAAAAATCAACGAGGTGATCTATTATCATTATCTATATTTAAAAGGGGCAGACCGAGGTAGTAGGTCTTAAAAAAACAGAGTAGTTGGTCCAAGAACGACCATCCCAAAAGTACATGATTCACAACTTTTACGTGCATATATACTTATATACATGATACATATATGCGCTATATGCCAGCATACGTGACAACGGATGATATAATTAAGCGCGCTCTCCTGCAAGTAATTAAAAGGTGAGAGATAGATGGATCAATCAGTCGTTGGTGTTGAGTTTGCCCCTGACGCAGGACTTGACCAAGCTCTTCAACCTCTTCCTCTTCTCCGCCTTCTTATTGCCAGCTGCACTCCGCTGCTGCTTCTCATCGCTGCCCGTGTTCCTCACATCCGACGACGTCACCTCCATCTCCTCCTCCATCTGCACACAATAATAACTCGAATTAGTTATTATTAATCACGGCTATTTATCACTAGTACACATGTGACGGAAAATTGGCAGTAATATCTCTAGCACACACTCGCTTCGTCCTATAAAAATTTAAACTAGTATCCGTAACATCTTATTAATTACTAAGTCCAAGATTCATTATACCCCATACTAGAGTTAATTTATTTTTTTATAAGACAGAGCAAGGTAACATCTTATTATTACTATTATTATTACTAAGTCTCATAGTATGAGAATATTAACATCTAGATTCGTTGTACTGTCTGATCCGATCTAAATTGTTATAACAAGATAATATATCCATACAGAAGATAACATATCCATACAGAATATATCTGATTAATATATCTGATCCGATACTAGGTTGTAAGTTGATTCTTTATAGTACAAGTAGTATTGTTACCTTGAGCACTCTGGTCTCGAGGGAGGCAATGCGGTCGACGAGGCTGCCCTTGGCCCGCGCCTCCTCCAGCGCCTCCTTCGCCGGCCGGCAGCTCATCCCCCTCGGCGTGCTCGCCACCGACGACGACCCGGACTCATTACTACTCACGGTCGTCGTCGTCGTCGACGGCGAGCCACCGCATGACGACCTCCTTCCGCCGCCGCCGCCGCGGCGCATCTCCTCGAGGTGCCCCACCACCAGGTCCAGCCGGTCCACGCGCGCCATCACGCTCGCCGCCGGCTGATGGCTCGCCGCCACCGCAGAAGCCATTACCAATTCAGTCAACTCAGCTCGATCGTAATTAAGTTTGCCACCGGCGATCGATCGAACACGTTGATCCGACACTGAGAGTGAGAGCCTTCAAATTAAATTAAGCAAATTAAAACTGAGCAATGGTAGAGAATTGTTGGTTTGGCGACGATCGACATGGATGCGTGCATGGCGGAGCTATAAATAAAGTGGGCGTAGCTGAGACGATGGGGTTTGCACGTGTCAAGAGACGCCTACGTGGCACCGGTGACGGGGGCACGCGTGGCGGGTGCGACTACATGGCTAGCTCGGTGCATATGCATTTGGATGAGAGCGCGCACGCGTGGCCTTCGTCGGAGCCCCTGCCGGTGGTGGGCGGCGAACTGGAGCGCGACACGTAGACATGACTTGGGAACCACAGTATTCTAGACGAGACGGGTAGCTAATGGATGAGCTCCGATCCATAGGGCGGCGGCCGTTGTCCGACTCTTCAACGGAGGATTCAGGCTCGTGTTAATTTACATGAAACTAATGTAAAAGAATGACGTAAAACGTCTATAGTTCTCGAGTCGCGACTCATATTAACTCAGCTTCGGTCCATCACGTCTGAAAAAAATGCGAGAAAAGAGAAATCAGGGATATGCATGAATGGTCTAAAGATCACATGAAGAAAATCCACAACATGTAAATACTTCTGTAGAAAATATCTTTGCATATGTGCAGTCAAGTCAACCGCCTCTCATAAGTTATACGTGGAGATCCTGATTTTCACGTACGACCGTCCCAACCACACGTAAATTGGTTTTGCAATTGGACCGTTCCTCCTAAGAAGACCACCTACGGAAACACGATTTTCGCAAGCAGTCAAGTTACAATAGCCGTTTGCGATATGACTTTCAAAAAATAAAATAAAAAACAACTGCAGAAACCCTAGCTCGATCCCCGCCGCAGAATCCAGGCTCAGCGAGCTCCCCACTACCGGATCCCCCACCGCCTGAAGCCCGACGCTGCCGCTCCCGGCACAATCATCCGACACCATCGCCGCCACCGCATCTGCACCTGCCGAGGCCCATTGTCGTCGTCACCGTAGGGGAGGCTTCGGGTCCACCCCTCCCAATCGCCGGTGGCAGTGGATCCACGCATGCGGGGAAGGAGAGGCACGCATCCATCCCTCTCATCGCCGCTGTCGGCGAATCCGCATGCATGGGGTGCGGAGAGGCAATTGGATCCATGCGGAAGGGGAGAGGCCGCCGGATTTGCCCCTCCGTCGCTGTCGCCAATAGATCAACGCGTGTGGAGATCCGCATGGTCGGAGGCCACTGCCGCCACTCCCACCTTGTCCCGAGCTCACTGCCGCATGTCGTTGTCGCTAGCTGCCAGCCCGAGCTGGAGGAGGCCGGATGGTAGTGGGAGGGAGAGAGAGGAGGGAAGAAGTGGAAAAGAGAGTATAGGAGGAGAGCAATGGGAGAGAGCGCAAAAAATGAGTGGGGGAGAGATAAGGTGAAGGGAAAAAAATAAGAAAGGCATGCGGTTCCGCGCGAACTACATGTAGAGGAGAGAAACCCCACCTACGAAAATGGATATCGTAGGCGAGTCTTAACCAAACACCATCAAAATCTTTTTACATGCGGGTGTTATTTTATTCCGCCTATGATTAGAGAGGGATGCGTCCGCAAAAATCATTTTATTAGTGTGGTCCACCTACTATATAAGTAAACATCTTATCATGTAATAAAACCCACACATATGGGTGTTAAGGTAGATTCCTGTCATGCTAATAAAAACTTACTAATTTTCTATTAAGATACCTAGTTGCTCCTCCTAAGGCATGCTCTAAATATATATATATATATATATACATACATATATATATATATATATATATATATATATATGATGCACGTATGGGGCTCCATGGAGTATGGGCACCATGGTTATACACCGTTGGATCAAGGGCTAATAGAAAGGAAACGTGATTGCTTTAGTTGATTAACGGGTAAACCCGTGAAGTATTTAGGATTTGAAAAGTAAAGCAAAGTTGCATGCATGCTAATTCACTTATGGACAGCACTAATGGGCATTTAATACCTTGATCAATTCTGTGCATGCATGCTGTTCGTTTGAAATGAGTTTCCATGTATGGGTGAATAAATTGCCATATACGTGTCTAGTGATCAGAATGGAAACATTAATGTACGTCCGGGTGTTTAGTAACAATGGCACTATTGGGTATATGGGAATATACATTTAACTTTATGGAAACTAATTCAGCATTTAGAAATGTGGAACGAATTACTAACATGGTATACAATCGAGAAGCATGTAGATTTAATATGAGAGATATTTGCTAGGTATGTATGTGTTTTCATGAAATATTTTTTTTATATACATAGAGAACGTGCAATACTAGAGTATATGTTGAGTATGTGCGTGCGACGCCGACGCGTGCAACATAATTCTAGTTGGGTATATACATTTTTGTTGAGTATATGCACATTTAAACACGCGTGTTGAGTATATACACATTTAAACACACGTACTGAGTATATACATATTTAAACGCGGTTGAGTACATACACATTTAAACACGATATTGACTATATAAAACGCATATTAAGTACACACACGTATGTTGAGTATATACCTATGTAAGCATACATATTAGGTATACACCATAAAAACGCGTATTTGCACACGCGTGATGAGTATATGCACATTTAAACACGCGTGTTGAGTATATACACATTTAAACACGATATTGAGTATATAAAACGCATATTAAGTACACACACGTATGTTGGGTATATACCTATGTAAACATGCATATTAGGTATACACCATGAAAACGCATATTTTGGGTAAATATCCCATTTGTAATTGGATATATACCTATTTAAATGTGGCTGAAAAAAATATTTTTTTATGAATTTTACCTTTTGTTTTGCTTGAACTGAATTTCCCTCCTTTATTGTCCTGTATAACGAGCTGGTTACATGCATTCTAAAACCAGATTAATACATTGTAAAGAATATTCAGTTTAAAAAACTAATCATATCTCGAACACAGCAATTTGAACAGCTTGCTAGCTCCTAGCACATGCATCCAGCACGTGCTTCTTCTGGGCACGACCATCTTCTTCGCATGATCCTGTGGTGACAGATGTTCGGTTGGATGGCAGTGTCAGTGGAAGCAGACGACCGGCGTTGGCGACGAAGCTCACATATGACTCGCAGACGATTGGCGGTGTAACGGCGTGGCGACGAAGCTTGCGGACGATCGGCAGCGCAACAGATAGCCAGCGGCAGTGACGAATCTCGCGGACAACCGTAGCATCATAAAGCTCGAGTACATATATACCCCGCCCTCGACCCCCATAGTGCTTATGGGAATGCGAGCTGATGGACAATATGCTGCAATGTTAGCTGCCTACATATAACTATCGAAATTAACGGGTTTGATGTCAACTGATTTTTCTCATACCTTAATTGGTTCCGATTTATGGACGGCCGGCGTAACAATGTGGCCAGGAAGCTTGCGGACAATGTCCACAAAACCACGAGGAAATGACTGCGGATATATGTATGGTTGATTTGGGAGGAGGCATAGGCAGATAGAATCATTTAAAAAAATGTAAAACCGTGAGCTGGTCCTTATATATACTCACTAACAAGGAAACTAGGCCGCGTTCGATAGCGAGAGATCGAGGGGATTTGGTGAATTGTGCACTGTTCAGCACTGTACATGTCTGAATAATTTACTGCATATTAAATGGCGTTGGTGACTAAACGTGGCACCTGTACAAACGGCACAGACGGCATTTGGATGGATCGATTCGTCGGCCCATCCGTCCCCAACCCACCACCAGCGCAAGCAGCCGTGCTCGCTCTCTCTCTCTCCCATCGATCCCCTTCTTCCTTCGCCAAATTTTCTCGGTCGTCGACGGCTCCACGCGCGGTCGCCGTGGCTGGAATCGTTGTGCCCTACTGCTGAGCCTCGTCCGGTGGTCGTCGTGGTCAGCCTGGGGCTGTTAGGCACGCGGAGAAATCGACCACTCGTCACGGGAGCTGCTGAAAAGGCGAATCGAGGCCGGAGAAAGGGGATTCTCTGGCGGAGCTGCCATCAAGCCAGGCGGAAGTCGGGGAGCGCTGCCGGTGTTGTCTGCGTCACCTAGCTGCTCATCAGGCTCTGCAGCTTTGGCCGCATGCGGCTGTACTCGGTGGAGCGCTCTCGGGTGTCACAGTGTCGTCAAGATTCGGCAGAGTTGGAAGCTTTCTTCTCGCCTCCGGCCTCCTATTTGAGGCCTCCTTCTCCGGGTGGACAATGGGCACCAGGGGAACAAAGCGGAAGAGAGGGGAGGACATCCATCCGTCGACTGCAGCCAAGGGGCAGGCTGTGCCTTTGGCGTTCGCCGCACCGGCTCCTCACGGACTGCTCATCAATCTGGATTCGGGGACGGGATCGAGCGCCTCTGGCAAATCTGACGCTAGCTCTGCCCCTCCTTGTGACAATGACATCAATGTGGCCGCCCGCTTCCTAACAGCCGTTTGTGCGACCTCCCCAGAAGGCGTTCGCTCTTTCGTCCGTCGTGTGTCGCCGGCGACGGTTGTTCGGTCCCTCGATTTGGACCTGATCCGGCCCATCTCGCCATAAAAGGTAATGCCCATTGTAATTTGTTTTTGATCCATTGCATTTGTGCTTTGTTAACATTGGGTGGTAGATGGCGGAGGGTAAAATCCGATGGAGCGACGATGAAATTGGCATATTTCTTGAGGCATGCTTGGAGGAGTTGTCCGCAATGACCATAACATCCACTTGTCCAAAGCCGCAAGGCTACAAGAACCTCATACAGAAGATGAAGGAGAGAATCGGAAGAAACCTCACCAAGGATCAGGTGAAGTACATATGGTGTCAATGTCGTAAAAGGTGGATGCTTTGGACGTGGCTGGAATCAAAGGCTACCGGCATTGGCCGTGACCCGATAACTCAAGCCATTGTTGCTGACGACAATTGGTGGGAAGACAAGGACCAGGTATGTCACCTACCCTTATGTTGTGTTCGGTCGAACTAGGAAGATAGTGATTTCCATACTGATTTGCATTAACACAAGGACCCATGACATTTGTTTAGTTCATGAAATCTCCACAGTTATCTATTTTTAGGTATAATCATACATATTGTTCATAGAAAGTGTTATGTACCTTTGTAAAACCTTGTGTTTCTAGGCTACAAAATCAGAATGTAATTTTTTTTGCTATAATGAATGGGGGTACAATTTCTCTGCTGCATTCACTACCTTCCAATAAATTGATTAGGAAGCAGCAAATGCATGGTTGGTACTATTTTTATTATTCTCTTGTAGGTCTTTTCAACAAAACTGAGCCATATCTTGAGATATTTGGTATTCCTATGCTATTGTTGATGCCATAGTTTGACATGACATCAACCTCTATGTGACATGTCACATTGCTTACATGGCATAAAGTTTTTTGATTTTTAGTCTGCTCATCATCTGCTATTATTGTCAATGCATATCAATATCATATAGTACTTCCTCCATTTTCTTGAATTAGTTAGACCGTAAAATCTAGGTAAAATGTTACCTGCAGTCTGCAGATGTTAAAACATGGTGCCACCAATAATAGCTATGTTGCTGCGTACATTAGTTATTAGTTATGTACTTGTATGCTGCTGTCTTTTTTTTAGTTCAAAAAGCGTCAACAAAATGCAAAAATGAAAATCGATTTAACAAACTACTTATGTTCATTTCAATGTAAATTTATTTTGTTACTCAACCATTTTCGCAGAAAAAGGACGGAGCTCGTGTCTTCAAAGATTCCCCTCTCAAGCACATCGACCTTCACTGTGCTATTTTTTCGGGGCGCACAGTGGTAGGGAACCACTCTGCTGTTGCAGGCGCAGCACCAGCACCTCCTCAGCAGCCAACTCCAAGGCCCAACATCAATATCTCACAGCTGCTAGCTCAACAACAAAACATTGCGACTCTAGGAGAGTTTCAAGTGCAGGAAAAGGCAAGAGGCCAGCAGATGAAGCTGGCACTTCGAGGGGATCGGCTTCAAAGAAGAGTCGAAGTGACTCAGCCGGTGATGCCCTGCACCGGCTAGCTGATTTGCGAGTGGAGTCGATGGAGAGCCGTTCCCGGAAGGTGGAAGAGGACAGGGCTAGAAGTGCAGCAGCTTGCATCCAGTTGGTGGTAGCTGATGGACATAACCCAGGGAGTGATTTATTCTTTATGGCACTGGATGTATTTGAGCGTGCTTATTGGGGTCAATGGTTCATTGATTACTGCCCTACACCCGAGTCACGGTCCCATTACATAGTACAGACATGGCAAAAGCAATTTGGCGGAAAAGGAGCTGGTGGCCAAGGAGGTGGACAGCCTGGATACGAAGGAGGAACTGGGCAGCAGCGTTATGGTGTAGGAGCACCCCCGCCAACTGGCCAGCAGGGTTATGGTGGAGGAGTACCCCCGCCAACTTGTTCAGGAGGTCATACAAGGTTTGGAGGTTGGTAGGGGGGTCGCCCTGGTGGAGGTGGGGGTCCTGGTAGCGTAGATGGTAATGGGTTCTATTGAGTTGCTCTTGCTTGGTCAGTTGCCTGGAGCTCACTGAGAGGAGGAGATTCATATGAGAGGCATAAAAAATAATGCTCACCATACTGTTTGCAGTAGGATTTTAGCATCTGCTTAACTGTTTTTTTCTTGTATGATTTGTACCCTCTTGTTGTATGATTTTAGCATCTTGTTGTATGATTTTTAGCATCTGCTTTACTCATTTCTAATGCTTGTAGTCTGAACTGGTACTTGTGGTATGTCACTGTGAAATTTTTTATGCAGCTAATTTTTTTATTGAACACCATGCGTGCATTTTTTTACAAATAATGTTGTAATGGTTAATGTAAGCTATATATTTTTCTTGTTTCGAAGGAATCACACAATGAGCGACGGTTCATCGTGGAGTTCGGATGGTACTGAAGGGCAATACACGAGCGATGAGGATGACGCTATTATTGCAATGATGCAAGAGATTTTAGCTGCTCCTCCAAGAGCTCCTCGTCGTGTCCCAACCCAATTTGGAATAACTTGGATGCTAGAGACAATGGCGAATCCTGCACAGTGCCGTGCGATTTTCCATTTAACGGAATATTAGATATACACTCTACATGGAATTTTGGAAAATGCCCCTTACAACCTGCATGGGAGTAATGATGTAAGTTCTTTGGAGGCACTAGGAATCTTCTTGTTCACAATGGCAGGAAATAATTCTTCAAGGGAGTCGAACAATCGTTGGGTCCGGTCGAACTCGACGGTGTCTATCTATTTTCGAAGGGTTCTTAGCCGAATGGTTATGTTAGGGTCGAAAATACTCAAGCCAATTGATCCGAATTTTACGGACATCCCTCGTCGCCTATTACAAGATAGTCGTTTTGGACCATTCCAGTTTGCTGTAGGTGCTGTTGACGGCACACACATTCCGGTCACTGTTGGTGTGGATAGTGCCATAGAACACATGAATCGCCATGACGAGACAACAAAAAATGTCCTAACAATTGTTGGATTCGATGGTAGAGTTATATTTGCCGATGCCGGATGGCTAGGATCAGTGCATGATAATCGAGTCCTAAACGAAGCTATTGACTCTTATCCAGAGGAGTTTCCAAGACTACCTTTTCGTAAGTACTACATTTGTACACCATATAGCACTTCATTAATTGTGCACTGATAGTTTTCATGTATAACTTTATTTTGTAGGAAAATATCTTCTTGTTGACTCCGGATATCCGAGTAGGATGGGCTTCCTGGCACCGTACCCACGTGTACGATACCACAAGGATCAATTCAAGGGGCCACGCGCTCCACCGCCAGAAGGAAGGGAAGAGAAGTTCAACTACATACATGCCAAGCTGCGTAATATAATTGAGAGGCAATTTGGAATTGTGAAAAAACAGTGGAAAATCTTAAAAGGCATACCGTACAACCCATACAAGAATGTCCAGAGCGACATAATATTGGCAGCGTTTTGTTTGCACAACTTCCGAATCGACAGCAAGCAAAATGACTTCCAGGCCAATAACCCTCTGTATAATGGTAATCCTATAGCACCAATAGCACCCCCCTTCTCCAATATGTATTACGCCGGCAATAGCGCACAAGCGATGAAAGCATACCGTGATGCCATTGCCAATTCGGTGGAGAACCTGTAGAAGTACATGAACTATCTCCTGTACAGTGTACGAGCTTTTTATTAGATGTACGATTTAATAAGAAATCCATTTCGTGATGGATATATGTATTATGTACTGCATTCAAGTCTTTGGACTGTGCCAACTCGTATTCAATAATTTTTTTCATTACGTTGCTCAAATTGCTACTACCTCCGTTTTTTAATAGATGACGCCGTTGACTTTTTCTCACATGTTTAACCATTCATCTTATTCAAAAATTTTATGCAAATGTATAAGATATAAATCACACTTAAAGTATTATGAGTGATATAACAACTCATCACAAAATAAATTATAATTATGTAAATTTTTTTAAATAAGACGAATGGTCAAACATGTGAGAAAAAGTCAACGGCGTCATCTATTAAAAAACGGAGGGAGTATATTTTATTTTTCCAACAATTTTTTTCCCATATGTCAAATTGCAATGTTTTTTTTTCTGCATTTGTCGTCACTACTTTTAATAGAACGCTGTAACTACTATTTGACACAGCAAAAATATCTATCATCTTGCAAGTAGAAAAAAAAAGACGCTACAGCTACCTAAGCCCAAATGAATGGCATCTGTGCAGTAGCAAACGGCGCCGTCTACTGCTGTCTAACACCTGTCACTGGACAGTCTGGACTGCATTTCACGATGGAGTAAATTATTCGGTGGACTACAGTGCTGCTTTCACCCAATCCCCTCAATCTCATGCTATCGAACGCGGCCTAAGGCCATATAAATGGAATCAAATTAAATAAAAAAAATGAATGTCCTACATACGTTCAAATATTCATGCATGTTATGGAAATACTTGCATGCAGCGTGATTCATGGAAATTGAAATATATGCATGCAGGTTACAAAATGGAAAGGTGGAAAACTTTCCTACGTTCATCTCTCTTAGCGGATTGAACCCGTTAATTTCTTGCTAACCCAATTTTGCTTAGCACGGATGCAAAGCAACCAAACGGTGGATACTGTTGGAGCCTGGGCTTAGACACACACACTACATTACCATTATGGTGTCCACCTAAAATATATTAACATGTTCACAATTTACTCCCTCCTTTCCAAATTGATCATCATATATGTTTATACATCAAGACCAAGGATAATTTAAATCACATCAATTAAGACGCCATGCACACATTCTCTCTTAATGCATACATCGATTAAAACAACATGCCACTTACACCTTAGTATACGCACATTCTTCCATATTGCATTAATTATATTCTGATAAAATCCGTGTCCATGCGGTTATATGATGATGGATTTAAGAAATTTTGAGTTCCATTATACGATGATCAATTTGAAAGAAGGGGTATATGATAAGAAAGGGTATTAAGGTGGATCCTACAAATCCAAGATTAGCCATTGAGAGAAGGAGAGAGAGTAGCACTACCATGAGAGAGGGAAGAGTGATAGATTTTTTTTAATTCCTTGTGAGTGATCTTTATACATATTGCTAGCTGAACCAAATGCCTTTGAGAAAATTGCTTATGCACTCTCTTAAAATATACCTAAACCTTTCTATTCCCCGAGTTTTTGCTCATTCCCTTATATACATAATACCATAATTATTGAGACCGGACCGGCCATCGAACGGTCAGGTCCTCGGTTCGATGGTTCACTGGTTTGACCAGGTGGACCGGTTAAAAGCGGTTCAATAAGGTTAAATATATAACTGATTCACTCAAACACAAGTAACAGCCTAGCTTGGTGGTTGGTGCGCCATGGCTCTATTCAACCCATCTTCCAAAAAAATCGGCCGGCCCAACAGGTTTATACCGGGTCATTTGTACATACGGTCTTGGACCGAACCGGTGGAGGCCCTGGTACTGGTTTTCCATATCGTTGCTGCTGCTAGTTGACCGCTAGTTAACCATTAAATTCGTATGAAACATATAAATTTATTGTTAGAGTGTAGAAATTTATTATGTTAACCGGTACTGTTTATGATAAATTTTATTTTCAGATATGATATAAAATAATGTTTATTTTTTATTTTGTTAAATTTTATTTATGTAGAATATTCTTATTAAAACATGAGATATATTATATAATTTTAAAAATAAATAAAATTAATATTGATTTTTGTCATATCTAAAAATAATTTGTGCCGTAATAATATCTTGCGCGCATTGCAAACTCATAGATATAATATTCTCTTTCAACAAATTTCTACACTCCAACAATACACTCCATAAGAAAAAGGCAAGATGAACATTTTATATGAATTTAATGGTTAACTAACTGAAAGAGCATGAAAGGATCAAAACTAAAATTTGGGGTTACATCAATTCATCAGTTTTTTAGAATTAGGCCAACCCGAATCTTAGAGGAATATTCCCTGTTAGGGACCATCCTATTCCACATGTCTTCATACCAAACATCTTGAAAAAATGGGTTCAATCCAATCCGATCCATCTTAATGCTTGAACCAAACATATGCTAAGAGAATGAGCAAAACTCAAGGATATAAGAGGAATTTACCCAATGCATTTTATAAGGACTATTCTCATAATTTACATGGTCCACTTTAGAGGATTAAGATCCTTTTATGTTTACATTGTGCACAAACTTTATTCTCATTCTTAGTTGCATTTGCTCTAACATGGCATTCCACGGTCAGAAGTCAGAAGAACACGAAAGGTAATTAATATTGTTCAGGCCGGCCGGCCACATGGCATTTTCATCATGCATGCATGCGCTGAGCCGCTCGATCCACAGTCATACGACCGGTGTGACAGCCTCGAGCCCCAATCGACTTCGGATTACCGTTAATTACCAAATCCGAATCCGGATGCATTAGTCACCTTCGGATTTTCGAAACTGCCAGCACGTACCGTCTACTCTGCTTCTTCGCGCCCACGCTAATTAACTAGAAATTCGGAGTCCGACGCGCGCGCCACGGGTTGGCCTATAAACCCTAGGTCCGGCCGTGCCGCTCGCTTGTCAGCCGATCCCACATCATGGCGCAGCAGCGGCGCTCGTTGTCGTCCTTCTCCTCCACTGCCGCCATGCGCAACATCCAGCGCGACCTCCATGGCACCAGGATGAAGCTCGCCGTCACGCCGATCAACACGTCGTCCGCGCAGCTGCAGCTGCAGCAGGTGCCTCCCCTCTCGCGCTCTGCCTCCTTCGACCACCCGATCGCCGCGCCGTGAGCACGCCGCCAAGGCCGCCGCTGACCCAGCTGCTGGCCCGGAGGCCTCGTCGGAGCAGATCATGGAGGCCGGGACGACCGTGAGCGTCCGCACACGGGTGGGGAAGCTTCCCGGCGGGAGGCAGCTGGTGCTGTGGCTCTCCGCGGTGGTGGTCTCCGCCGCCGAGGAGGGCTACCTCACCGTCGTCTACAAGGGCGACTTCCCGCCCGGGGACCCCTTCCAGACCGTGCGCGTCGCGAGGAAGGACACCAAGAAGATCACTGCCGGCGCCGCCGCCGCCGCCGCCGCAACCATCACCGATCCAGCCGCGGCGGCGGCGCGCCCCTCCAGCAACAATGTGGCAGCCCCGGCCCCTCGTCCCAGCACGGGCGGCAAGAAGGTGCGGGTGCTCAAGAGAATTTACCCGGAGGCGTTCTAGATCGAGCAGTGCAGTAGCCTGTAGGAATCCATCAGGATTCAGGGCATGTCTCTCTCTCGTCTTCCTCCTCTGCTTATTTTTGGTGTCGGAAAGCCACTTGTGATCGATTGTACTCCCTCAGTTTCAAAATATTTGACACCGTTGACTTTTTAGCATATGTTTGACCGTTCGTCTTATTAAAAAATTTTGTAAAATATGTAAAACTATATGTGTACATGAAAGTATAATATTTAACAATGAATCAAGTGATATGAAAAGAATAAATAATTACTTAAATTTTTTGAATAAGACGAATGATCAAACACGTACTATAAAGTCAACGGTGTCAAATATTTTGAAACGGAAGGAGTAGTAGATAGGATGATTCTTTTCGCGTTCGTTGCATTAGAGCAAGCATCCAAGAACGCCTAATGTATTTATATGATGTCATTATTTTCACTGAATATATATTTGTGAATGATAAGATCTTATTCATGACCCCAGCAATATCTTCTGATTAACTCCATCTTTGTTTACCCATGCATGAGGATGCACAATGTTGTTCTTGATTTTCGTTGCACCCTAAGAATTGTCATGTATATATATACTCCAAGAGTTCATTGTGTACTGTGACAGTCTTGTCAAAAACAATCCCCCTTGGGCGCCCCATGCACAACAGAAAGATCAAGCAGCTTCATATGTCCATCCTCCTATTGACCGGAGGAGACTTTTCGAACCCACTGTCTTATTTTCGTTCTTATCCACTCATTCCACTCTTTCTCCCCAAATCCCACCAAGCCACCAAGGCAACCGTGCGAGGTGCATGCTTGTGTGCGCTTCCTGCCTTCCCGTTTCTTTTCTCCCTCCCCATCTCATAGCCATGGAAACCTCCTTGCTCACTGCTTCCGAATCATGCTACGGCTTCTCCCGCTTCACTGGAGCATCCATGCCAACTAAGTGAATTGTACAAGGCAACGGCGGCACCGCTTGCTAGAGCTCCTGTGTTGGTATTTATACCGTTCTGCACCGGCAAGGGAGGGAGGAGGCCAACTCGTTCTCACTATATATCCGGTCTTCGGTTGGACAGAAGAGGGTGGAGATCTGGCCTAGGAGAGGAGGAAGAAGCCATATCGATCTAGGCCGGTACATTTTTGCCATTTTTTTTTACTGTCTCAATCAATGCATTTCGATGTTTTTCTTATGTTGCATCAGAATGTGGCACTGGGTATGTTGATGGTGTTTCACATTTTTTTTCTTCAATTTCTTGTGGATCTATTGATGTTTCAACCGATAAAATCTCGATGTTCCCTGTGTGAGAGTGAAATGTTCAACTATGATTTAACAATGTTCCACTGATTTAATATTATGAGACTTTTTAAGTTTATTGGTGAAACAATTATCTATATCCGATGAAATCTCGATGGTCCCTGTGTGAAACAATGCCCGATTTTTCAAGAAAAATAAGATACCTGATTTATAATGGTTCGCAGTCTTGTTGCAAATTCCCTCCAAAAAAGTTGAAAAATCAAGAAGATGGTGAAGGCCCAGCCCGTGTGCCTCTGTCCTTTGAGTAGGAACCATTAATGGAGCCAATGGACCGAGACCAAGTACGGAGACATACAGAGAAAATCGCACCAAAATCTTTCAGATGTATAACTACTATATCGGCCATTCCAGCTCCTCCACCGGCTAGCTTTCCGGCGCGCACTGCTGACATAGTATCCGGCCGAGGCACCGGCGGGGCCTTTACACCAAGGCTCGTGAGACGAGATCGATCTGGACGAGGCGTGGCGCGGCGCCAACAGGAGGCATACACGGACGCTGCAGGCGAGCGTCATGCGCCGTGGCGTGGCGTAGCGACTGATCAATCCGATCTCACCTCCTTAATCAACATCAAAACCGTTCATGCATGATCTCCCAAATCTTGGAAAAGCCAGCAGCACCACCGCCTACCCTGCTTCAACCCAACGCCCATCCGCTCTGACTTCCAGTGAACGCGCCGCGCCACGGTCAAGAAGTTGTCCGAGCAGGCGCCTCCGCTCCCCCGCCGCTCTGCCTCGAGCACCCGATCGCCTCGTCTGCCGCGTCGGAGAAGATAACGGTGGGGATGGCCGTGAGCGTCCGCACCCGGGTGGGGAAGCTTCGCGGCGGGAGGCGGCAGCTGGTGCTGTGGCTCTCCGCGGTGGTCGTCTCCGCCGCCGAGGAAGGCTACCTCACCGTCCTCTACAAGGGCAACTTCCCGCCGGAGGATCCCTTCAAGACTGTCCGCGTCGCCGCGAGGGAAGAAGCCAAGAGGATGGCTGCCCCGGCCGCCGCCATCGCCACTTCCACAACAGCTCTCCCCTCCGGCAACAATGCGGCGGCTCCTCGTCCAACCACGGCCGGCAAGTCGGTGGCGGTGCTCAAGAGAGTTTTCTCGGAGGCGTTCTAGCTACAGAGTTTGTCGACTGCAGTAGTTTGTAGGATTCAATCAGCGCATATGTCTTCTCGTCTTCCTCCTCTGTTTTTTTTGGTATCGGAAGGCACATGTGCTTTGCTGTACTTGATAGGATGATTCTTTTCGCGTTCTTTGCATTGTAGCAAGAACTAGGGATGAAACGGAGCGGATACGGACGAATAATGCTTATACCATATTCGTTTTCATATTTTTTTACCGGATACGAAAACGAATACGGATAGCTCGAATACGGAAACAAATACGGATTATCTCGAATACGAATAAGAATCGAATATGATCGGACACGAATACGGAAACAAATTTTTCTCGGAACACGAAAACCAACTCAACTTCTAATAGAAATAAATATCAACATATATAATTAGCTCATTTTATATAAAATGAGGTATAATTTATAAATATTTTTTAAAATTTAAATAATATTAATAGTATGGACTAGTGTTAAGAGATAAACTACTATTAAAATCTATAAAAGTACATTGAAGGTTATAGAGTTAGAAAGAAATGGGGTATGTCTCATGGGTCTTGCGGATATCCGAATAGCACTGTTCACCGGATATCCGAATTATTATCCGTATCTGACGGAAACCCTGATACCATATTCGTATTCGTATCCGGGAGAAAATATCTGTATTCGTATCCGTATCTGAAATATCCGAGAATTATCCGATCCGAAAAGTATCCGTATCTGTTTTTGTCCGGAGCGGACGGAAACTATCCGCTCCGTTTTTATCCCTAGCAAAAACGCCTAATGTATTTACTGTATTTATGATTTATCATTGATTATTTCATAATAATAATAATAAGATATCTGTCTCAATTTTCCCTCGAAAAATCACACTGCTGTTCTTTATTTTGGTGGAATCCTAAAATGTAACCAAAATCAAAGTCCTCCTTCATGGAGTTTTTGCAAGTAGTAACAATCTTGTTGCAATTTCGCTCCAAGAAAATTTCAAGATCAAGAATTATCGTATCCGTTTTGGAGCAAAATCGGACGTCCGCGTCCGATTTACATGTAAAACTATTTTAAACTGATTTTTCTCTTAAATTACTTATCCAAATCATGATCCGATTGCATCATTAAATTCGTTGCAATTAAATCTTCAAAACAAGACCATACATGGATATATTCCGACAAGAAAAAATTAGTTTATTATTAAATTATTTTTAAATGTTGCACGATGTTCCACCAGATATATCGGAATTGTTTCACTAAGTAGATCGAAAATGTTTCACCCGTTTAAATCGGGTGTTGTTTCACTTTATATAAAAATAATGTTTCAGCAAATAACGAAAGAATGTTTCAGTTCACTGCAACATTAGATCTATACATAGTGAAACATTATAAGTACACTAGTTGAAACATTTTTCGGTGGAACAAAAATAAAACGAATTCTCTTAATAGAGGGTTTCCAAAATATGTGGGTTTTTTTCAATGGAATATTTCAGTTCACTATAACATTAGATTAATAGGGGTTTCTAAAATATGTGGATTTTTTTTGTTGCAATGAAATTGTGTGCGTAAATAAGTGGCATGTGAGGACAGGGGATATGTGGTGAGGGCCCAAAGGAACTGAGGGAGAAGCGACCGATTTACTCCCCGGATCGGTTGACCGATATTGAGCAATTGCGCTACAAGGCTAGCCCAGTTTGTGCGTCTCTCTCCCTTGGGTGAAAAGAACCCATGGGCTGCAACTGCAATGGTGTGGATTTGTAGCCCATTAAACTTGTGCGGTGCCAGCATCCTAAAACCCTAAAGCCCCCCGCCTTTCGGCGCCGTTCCCCCACCCCCGCCGCCGACGAACTCCCCCCTAGCCATGGCGTCGCGCGGTGCCGCTTCCCGCTCCTTCCTCGCCGCCGTCCGTGGCCGCGCCGCCTCGTCGGCGCCGCGCATCCGCGCGGCTCCGCTCCCCTCCGCCCCACGCCGCCGCGTCCCCTCCTCCGCCTTCTCGCCATTTGCCGCCGCGAGGTAACCGCTCGCGCCCTCCTGATGACGTAGGTGCTGCATGGTGTGTGATGTTGACCGGTGGTTTTGGTCCGTGCAGGCCGATGTCGGCGATGATGGGGTCGCCGGCGGCGATGGCGGTGAGGCTGACCGGGCACCCGTCGGCGAGCGTGCGGGCGTGCTGTGAGCTCTCCCAGGGTACCCACTTCTGCCGCACTTGTCAGGATCGCTAACAAGTTAGTGATCGTGAATCGTGATTCATTCAACCATCTTATGGCATGATTTTGTTAGAATCAAAATATTGCTTCTCCCATTCTAGATGCGTAGTTTTTGTGTTTGCGCAATTGATAGCACACGTGATGATTTGGTATGTATGCAATGGTTGAATAGCTAGCTTTGATAAATCTTGGGTTGTTAGGCTGTGGGGGATGTTACTGCGATTTTGATGCACTTCTGCTTCTATGAATTCAAAGTTGCTTGAAATCTTGACTTGGATGTATGCTTATGCATGTTGTGCTTCACGTTTGATATCTTTATGGCTATGAATGAAAATTGTTTGCTAAAAACTGGGCTCCCTGTCGTCCTCGCGCGGGCGAACCCTAGCCCCTGGCCGCCGCCACACCCCTCCTCTCCCCGGCCTCGCCGCCGTCGGAGCGCGTCACCGGAAAACGTGCGGCCGCTGGTATGGCGGCGGCGAGGCTCCAACCCAGGCGGCGCGGGCGCCTCGGCGCGAAGGGGCGGCACGGAGCTTCGGGAAGGCCGCGGCGGTGGCGCGGCGAGGAGCGGCGGATCCGGCGCCTAGCATCGGCCATGAGGCGAGTGGCGGCTGGATCCAGCGTCTCCGCTGCCGGATCTGAGCCATGGTGGTGCGGGAGCACGGCGGATGCGGCGACGCCGATGGCGCGACGACCGTGGCTGGTCGGCGGTGGTGCGGAAGCGTGGCGTCGGCGGGGAGACGCGGCATCGGCGGCAAGCGCTACGGCTGGGGGCGCGGGCGGCCGCAGTAGGCGCAGTGGCGCGACGGCCGTGGCTGGCCGGCGGGCGGCTGTGGCCGGCAGTGCGACACGACGGCCGTGGCTAGCTGGCGACGGCGAGGCCGCCACGGCGGAGATAGTGCCGGCGAGCTGGCGGCTGGTGGCGGGGTTGAGCTAGGCGGCGGTGGTTCTGGTGGTGGTGGTGACGGCGTCATGGTGGTTCAAGGCGGCGGGGTTGGCGATGGTGGCGGGGATGGCGTCGGCCGAGGGCGCGAAGGCGGCGGTATTGGTCCCTGTGCGGCGACGGCGCGGTGCTCAGTGGCGACGGCGGCGGTGCCCCCAGATCCGCGCCTCTCGGCCGGATTTGGAGGGTAGCTGGCTGTGGTGGTTGGAGACGGCGGCCGACTTGCGACGGCTGGCGACGGCAGTTGGCGACGTCGGCGGTGTGGCCGCGGTAGTTGGCAGCGGCGGCGTTGGCCGACGACGCCGACGGACTTGGCGGCGGCTCGCGGAGGCGGTGGCTGGTGGCCACGACAGCGGTCACCGGAGGCATGGCGGCCCTGGACGGCTAGCCAAGGGCGTGGGAGACGGCTGCATTTGGCGGGCACGGCATCGTCTGGTGGAAGGGTCGGAGACCAGCTTGGCGCAGAGAGGCACAGCCGATAGCAGTGGAGGCCGGCTCGGCGCGAGAGGCGCGGGCGGCGGAGTTGGAGGCCGGCTTGGCGCAAGAGGCGCAACCGATGGAGGGAGGCCGGCTTGGCGCGAGAGGCGCGGCCGGCGGTGGAGGAGGCGACCTAGGTGTGAGGAGGAGCAGCTGGTGGGTGTGGCGCGATCTTCGGCGCACGAAGGCTGGCCGGCGGGGGACGCCGGTGCAGGGGTCCCACATGTCGGCAGAGCTTGTGTGGTGGTGGAGCATCGGTGTGTCAGCCGTGGGTCTCACCCCTCAAGGGCGATTGCCGGGCGAAAGCCCAATCTTGGCTCCTTTGAGTCCCGACGGACGGCGGTGGCGGTTTTTCCGTCGCTTCTCTTCTTGAAGACGTCGTTTTGGCATCCCCTAGGGAGCGATCTCAGCTGTGTCCCTTTGTTGGTCTAGTGGCGGCTGGTCACGCTTAGCGGCGGCCGGTCCGGTGCTAGCCTTCTCCTGGGCTTGTGTGTTGGCGATGTTGGTGTGTGGGTGGTGGGTTTTTTTCTTTTTCGTGGTTACGACCCTCCAGGGTTATAATCTGGTAATTTTTTCCTGCTTTATCGATAGAACTTCGCACCTCTCGTGCGAGTCGTTCAAAAAAAAAGGCAAAAATCGCTACAGGACACCCAAAAAACACGTAATTAGCTGAGGGGCACCTAGAAAACGTGGAACTGCCCCAGGACACTACAAAATTTGTGAAATTTGCCGTAGGACACCAAGCTCATTATTTTATTATTTTCCAGCTGAAAGTGACGAGTATTTTTTCAAAATGCCTAGATTGCCCCCGCGTCCCAATCTATGCCGACGCGCACTCCGGTGGAACCAAACTCGGTCGCACGTTTGGATGGAGGAGCGATTTCGCAATCAAGAACCTGGCTGCGGCTTCATCGCCGGTCGCGACGCGCTGCTCTCGCCGCCGAGGAGGCCCATCTCCACGTCGCGGTCGGCCTGCGTCGGCGCCGGCGGGGGCGTTGCGCCGGTGAGCAATATCTGGATGAGCACGAGCCGCGTGGCTTTGGCGGTGATAGCGACGAGCTGCAGGATGACGCCGAACGCGTCGAACCGCGCCTCGCCATAGGCGGCGACGGCGATGCCCGCGGAGATGCCGAGCATGTTGAGCATGGAGGCGTGGCGGAAGGAGTCGGTGCGGAACGCGACGGCGAGGCAGTAGACGGTGACGGGCATGAGCGCCTTGAGCATCTGGATGAAGGAGACAGAGAGGTAGATGTATGCGGAGTTGGAGAACCAGAGCGACAGCGCGTAGAGCACGCCGATGGGCACGACGGAGACGGCGTAGAGGCTGGGCGTCATGGGCGGCGACGTCGGCTCGGCGACGACGCGGAGGACGCGGATGAGCACCACAGTGAGGGAGGCGCAAAACGCCGTGTGGACCATGGTGAGCGATACGGGGAATGGCCAGTTGTACATCGTGGGATTGAGGATGTACTTGTTGTACATGATCACCGAGAAGCTGAATGTGATCCACACGCTCACGTACGCGTAGGACAGAAGCAGTGACTTGAGCACTGACGGCGACGGCGCCGGAGAAGAAGACAACGACGACACAACGTCCATGGCCGTGGCGAGCGCAGGGGGCTTGGTAGGAGAGGATTGATGTGGCTTGAGAGGTGTGACGCCGGCGCCGGCGGGGGCGTCGCGCCGCTGCAGCCCAGCAACCGGAGAGAGGAGCAGACGCCGCTGCAGCCCAACAACCGGAGAGAGGAGCAGACAAGTTAGACGGCGTACGTCGTCGCCGGAGAGAGGAGCGAGAGCTGCAGGCTGCAGCTTTCCGTTGATCTCCAGCCAGCACGTCCAAGAGCTCCGCCACCTCAGGAACCTGATGACGGCGGCGACTCTAGCGATGGGTCCCACCGACGGCTGCACGCGGCGGACTCTCCGGCGGCGAGCTTCGTGATGCCTTCCGTCGAGTGGTGTGTGGCGACCGAGTTTGGGACGTGGGGGCAATCTGGACATTTTGAAAAAATACTCGCCACTTTCACCCGGAAAATGATAAAATAATGAGCTCAGTGTCCTACGGCAAATTTCACAAATTTTGCAGTGTCCTGGGGCAGTTCCACGTTTTCTCAGTGTCCCTTAGCTAATTACGCATTTTTTTGTGTCCTGTAGCAAATTTTGCCAAAAAAAAATTGTTTGCTAAACACAGTAGACTGTCATGTTAATTCTTTGCTATCAGCACTGAAATTACTGATAGTGGATAAAATTTTTGCTGGTGGATTCATTGGGTGACAATGATGGTGCATTTGTGCCAATGTGTAAGGATATCTATGAAGCCTCAGTCAGCATGCCCATGTTCATTGTTTCCTGTTAGTAGCCATGTGATCAGAATTAAATTGTTTGGGCATGACTATCATAACTAGCTGAGGATTGAAGTTGCGTGTTTCCAAATCTAAGGTTGTGTTTTGTTTTTTGTCTAGGGTTAAAATAACTATAAAGTGCTCTTATCTTTACCAAATTGTTGTGTTTGGTCATACAACTGTAGGTAGTCCAATATTCTATATTGTATGGGTTCACTAGATTAGCACTTTAGCAGTATATAACTTGATCTAGAACCAGATCAAGGTTCTAAAAAACAACATTTAGTTTCATGTGGTCATGCTCATGCTCATGCCACCACCGCGCTTAAGCATTACAAGGTTGCTGTACCCATTCCTTGACTGCAGCCTTGTAGAACTTGTTTTAGAACTGTGCCTAGAGTGAGTTCATTGTGGTGCTAACTCCATGCCGGTGCTTGAGACTTGAGAGGCTTTTGCCAGGTGAATATAACTATTCTGTGTGGATTAACTTAACTCCAGTACTCCACTAATGCTTAGGATTAATAAAAAAACTGTACTGGTGCTATTTCTCAACATTTATGTGATTTTGACTATATAATCTGGTCATGCCACAAATCCGATTTCTCTTCTTATAGTTTCTGTTGTTTAATGACCAAAGTGAGACATACACTAGAGTGAGGGATTTATCCCATATTGTGTCGTTTACTTGCTCTTTTGATGAAGTTGCATTACAACTAATATAAGGACATCAAAATTGGGATTTGATAGGGGAAAATGGGAAAGATGGTTGATGCTGAGGACATAAAGAATGATTTGGGATACCCTATTCCCTAATATGCTGTATGTCCCCCCTTTCCCTAACTGTTATTTTTTTTTATCAACAAACCATTGAAGTTGTATAATAAGGATGGCAATTACTCTCAAGAAGCAATTGTATGAGTATGACAAGTGTACCATTCTGGGCCTTACTGGTATGTTGGGTTTACTGCTTGAAATAGGACTAGGCAGTTAAAAGGATTTCCTGGAGATAAATTTGATTGTGTATTCTTTTAAAAATTTGGAATATATTATATTTCTTTAGCATACTTATGTGCTATTTGAGCTATTCAATTCATGGATTCTGTAGAAAGGCTAATATGCCAAGAAAATTTTGTGTTAGCTATACTTACATGCTATGTGACCTATAATTTTAACGCCTGGTACATGTGGGCTAGATCTATCATTGGTACTTCTGCCCCCATGCTCAAAGATCATTACCGCACACTGTACTAATGCACATCCAATGTCTGTTATTGGAATCATGGGAATAATTTTGTTTCTTTTAACACAATAATGTTGGATATTTCATGGCTTCTGTATTGGTTAATTTTACTATAATTGAAACACTCCATTGTTACCAACATGGTATACATTGTGTAGCCATGCTTTGCACTGTGATTCCTTCTCTGATTTTATATTCTGAACTATTTATTCATGTACAGTATGAGAGAATACACCTGTTTGCAATGGATCTCGCTTCTTGTTGCTGCATTTCTTTTATTATTTCGTCTGCCCAAACCACTCCTCTGCTAACAAATTCTCTCCTCATACACTAGCTTCAAATATTTTTTTCAGCAATGCTGAATGTTTTGTTGACTTGAGGATTTCTGTGGTTGGGATCTGTTAGGAAATGGAGATGATGTATGACACGTGGGAGGCCACTTTAAAGAATAGCAAAGGTGCTAATGTCGAAGCACTGCACTTCTGTTATTTTGTTAACCTAAACTTGTTAAGAAATCGCTAATTCAATCCATATAGCTGAAACGGAATAGGATATTCATTGCTTAGGGGGGGAGAAATAGTGAAAATTATAAGTTTTATTTCTAAGTTTCTATTTATGATGTCAGGAATCAAGGCCATTCAACACCTCCCTCCTCTCTCTCTCTCTCTCTCTCTCTCTCTATCTGAGACTGAAATTGTTCTGTTCTTTTGAACAGTAATATATTCTTAATGATCACCACTGGCATATCTTCATTACAGATGCATGTAGAATCACAAAGCCTAGAGAACATGCATTTATGCACTCACTAATTTTCATGATTGGGGCTTATATGTTCAAAGTTACAACAACATTTCTGTATTCAACAATTGACATTGATCTCACAATGTCCATGCCAAGGTTTTCCCATTCTGATCATTTTCGAGAAAAACATTTTTCGACCATGATGTTATCATAAAGTCCTCTGAACATGCATTAGCAATTTCAGAACTCTGATTCTCTCCACTTTCTTAGATTATTGACTTTATCATGTTAATTTGGTGTATCAAAGAACTAATTTCTTGTAGCCATCTTATTCTGTACTATTTTCCTTTTATGTCCAGCCTATATGATATGTGACCTTATTTTGCAGGTAATTAGGCTTGAACAGTGCTGTCCCGACTCTGTTAGGATGCAATTCTTTTTAGGGTTACAGAAGCTCTCTGGCTCGTTTTTCCCCCTGCCTAATGGGAGGTTGTAAGGAACTCCCTATTATTACTTCACCTGTCACCTAGTGAAAATAACAGTCAACATGATTTTTACATTAATAATCCCCTGTTAACCAGTTACCCGTTATGTTCATTTGGTCGTGAAATATTGGATGAAGCATCATTCCTTTTCATGGGAATGAATGTTCTTGTTTTGCAAAGTTTAATATGTTCAGATTTCTGTAGAAGTTGTCTCCACGCTTTTATGCTCTTTTTTCTGCGTAACGCGATCTTTTTTCTATCGTGAAAAGTGAATGCAAGTTTACTAGTCGACTCTGGTACAGATTGTGTTGGGTGCCGCCTGGCTAATCTCGAATCTTGTGTTTTGCATTGTAAACTTAGCTTGTTCTACTGCTGTTCTTGTTTGACTCCGTGTGGATAATCCCAATTTTCTGTCGTGTTTGCCATGGGACCTAAAACAGTTGTGACGCCTACTGTGAGCGCTAGGGTTTTGTGTATTAGATTAGCTTAAGGGTGTGTTTAGTTCACGCTAAAATTGGAAGTTTAGTTGAAATTGGAATGATGTGATAAAAAAGTTAGAAGTTTACGTGTGTAGGAAAGTTTTAATGTGATGGAAAAGTTGAAAGTTTGAAGAAAAAGTTTAGATCTAAACAAGGGCTAAGTAAAGTAAGCACTAAAGCACAGTTAGCTCTACTACTAAACTTGCAGATAGCACTGTATTCCCTGTTCTTTCTCCGACAAAAATTGGATAAACTTTTGGATACTCGTGGCACGTTTTTCAAACTGCTAAACGGTATGTTTCGCGCGAAAACTTTCTATATGAAAGTTATTCTAAAATATTAGATTAATCAATTTTTCAAGTTTATAATAATTAAAACTCAATTAATCACATGTTATTACCACGTGAAACACTTAATCTTTATCTTCATCTTTATTTTTAGAAGATTCAAACACCACCTAAGCTCACAATAGGCAGTGAGCTGCATTTAGGTTATGCATATGCCTCTTTGAACCGCTGAGTAGCAAGAACCCGTATACGATGAACGTCCAAATCATCCGAAAATAGTCGCTGCATCCGTAGTTCTCTTGGTGTGGTGTGCTTTTCTGTGGAATTGTTTGTAGTATGACAGGTTGAATCCATGAAATGTATGTATAATCATCTGTTCATAGTTTTGCTATCTTAGTAGCCTGATTGTTAACACCACGCTTTGCTTGCAGCGTGGTGATTTACTGGCTTTTGTGCACTAGTAGTTCATAATTCTATTGACATAATATTTCATGATTATGTTGACCGAATGTAAAGTTTGTTATGAAATCTGTTTTAATATGGACAAGATAAGACACGATTGAAAAACCTACCACAAAACAAGCTTATGCCAAAAGAAAGCTTATCGTGAAAGGAACCTTGTGACGTAAGCAACCTTGTCGGAGAAGCAAGCTTTCGAAAACTATGTTACAGTATAATCAAGCTTACATCAGAAGCCACCGACCTTCTTCGCCTATAAATAGGACGATGAGAGTCCCAAGGCGAGGTGGAACTCTCTCGCCACCGACTTCTTCACCTATAAAGACCTTCTTCGCCTATTAAATAGGATGATGAAAGTTCAAGGTGAGGTGGAACTCTCTCTCGCCACTGAATTCTTCGCCTATAAATAGGACGATGAAAGTCCAAGGCGAGGTGGGACTTTCTTGGATCTCATGTAACTTGTATTCAAATCTAGTAAAAATAAAGTTTGTACTCATCTCTACACTTTTTTATTGTAAAGCTTTGTTTGTTTGTTTACATACTGATCGGCAGAATAGATTAATTTCTTGACAAAATTAACGGTAATTATCAGGCCTCTTGCTCCTTGTTCATCTTAAAATGTTTTAGGGACTTTTAAAATGAATGAAATTCACATAAAAATCTGGCAAAGAATATCTCCCGTTATGTTGGAGCCGCGATGTTATGAAAGTGATTTAGGCTGAGTTCGTTTGGAGATGGGAACAAATCTTCTGTGCACAAAAACCGTAGCGGTTCATTAGTGCGTGATTAATTAAGTATTAGCTATTTTTTTTAAAATGATCAATATGATTTTTTTAAGAAACTTATAGAAACTTTTTTTAAAAAAAGTACCGTTTTGCCATTTTAAAAATGTGCACACGGAACACGAGGTAGTAGAGTTGGGAAAACAGGTTGCCGAACATAGCCTTAGAGACATTTTGACAGTTGTGTCTTTCATCCTAAAATAATTTTATTTTTCACTTGTTTCACACATATTAATACAATCACTCGTTTCACACATATTAATACAAAACTAACTCATTTTACACATATTAATGGAAAATAATAAAAAAAAAGACTATAATACCTCTATTTTATCAAATTTCAATGCAACTATTTCTTACTACTATTTTATCTACTCCCGGGAAACTCCGATGCAATAATTAGTCTAAAAGCTTATTTATTTTGAGATTTCGAGATAATTATATAAGAGGGAAGTATTGCTTTGTGCCTCGGACTCTTAGAGCACACCCGTCCCGTTGGCGCTAGGGCCCCACTAGGTTTTGCAAAACCGCCGATAACCGCGCGGTTACCGTGCTTACCGCGGGGTTACGGTAAAAGGAAAACCGTTTATACCGTTTCATACCATGCTTATCACAGAGGCTCAGCAACCTGGTCCCGACGGTTTGAGAAACCATGGACCCCACCCGCTCTTTCCTAAACCGACATCCAAACGCAAACTGTTCGTCCCGTGTCCGGTAAGGAAGCCGAGGCCGAGTTGGCGACCTGCACCGCCTTTCGTCCCTCCCGCCTATTTAATTTCAGGCGACGCCCTCTCGTGTCCCCCCGGTCTTCTTCTTCGTGCTCTCACCGGGGGCGTGTGGTCGCGTTTTGCTTCTTCCCGTTTCCGATCTCCTCTCTCGATTCGACTCGAGTTGTGTTTTTTATTTTTCCTTTTTTTTTCTGAATCGTCGGGTTGATTTGGATCGTCCTCGTTGTTGTTTCCGCCTTCTGTTCCCGCAGATCACCGCCGGTGAGATGAGATGAGATGAGCCCCGTCTACGCTCGATTCCGGGAGCCCCTCCTGTTCGGTTCGCTTTGCGACGTGTTTGATTTTTTTTCTCTCTCTATGGTGATTTGATTCCGATTAGATCCGATCTTGTTCTGGTTTTGAATTCTGTGTTCTACCTTTTCCCCGTGTTTCCTCCTCTAGGCGTGTTCGGTTGCAGGAGCGGGTTTGATCCAGGATTGGAGGTTCCTGTGGCGTCGTGTGGTTGAAGAGGTGAACGTTTCTTGTCTACGGTCCGTTTGATTTAGTCACTTGGTTTCGGTGATTTCAGATTTGGCAATTTGAGTGGATATGCTAACGTTACTTCAATCTATGGATGGATGATCATCGGTTCTTATCATTCCTCACGCGAGGTGATTCGAGACCCTGGGTTGATTGTTGTTATTTGTGACCGCTGATCTGGCTTGTTGTCGGTATGTGTTTGTGCTCCTCTAGATGATGCAGGAGGGAGGATGACTGTTGAGATGAACCGGATTGGTGGAGGTTTGATTGTTATTGTCCAGGTTCATGGTTGTTTTGGATTCATGATGAATTATGGTTCTTGGTTGTTTTGATTAGTGCACGGTTGTTCTGAAATTATCCTGACATGGAAGTTCTGAAACTATCCTGGCTGGATTTCCTTTGGTCAGATCCGCAAGATGGGCAGATTTCTAAGTGGTTTGGAGATAGATTATACGGGAGATTGTTAGATGGGGATTTCATCATTTCAATGTTTTTTTGGGTCCTGATCCCCCTTGATTTTATTTAGTTGTCAGCATAATTTGATTTATGTCTGGAAGGTCTGATTTGGGAAGTTGGTTGTTCTTCAGGAATTGGATATATGCAGCTCACAGCGAGTCCTATTTGCCGCATCAGTTGGAATTATACAGGCTGCTAGCAGTCCCTTTTTTGTGATCGACAACCTTTACCTGCTTAATCTTTGATAACCAAGTTGATTTCTTTTACATGTTCTTCGTCAGTAATTAATAGTTCTTGCAGATACTCCTATGCCAAAGATGGAATTTGCAATATCTGCCTCGGTCTATACTAATATCTGCAAACTCCAGACTTTATGCCACTCAGTCTTTAAGTGATTTTGTTTATGCTTAGACTGCTTTCCTCCAAAATAAAGTCTCCTGGTCATTGCAAGGCTCCACATAATTTTTATGGCCTATCTGAGTGAAGCCTTAAATCACCACCCTTTTCCCTTCTTAATCATTAGTAGATGTTCAATGCTTACAAAGTTGAATTTCTTCCCAAATAAATGGTCTCTTTGCTTACTGCAGGTCTAGTTCATAATTTTACAAGGCCATTCTGATGCTGAGTGAAATCTTTAAATCACCTTCTCTTCAATTCATCACTTAGAAATTAAATATTTACAAAGTTGAATTTCTTCCCGAATAAATGGTCTCTTGCTCACTGCAGGTCAAGTTCATAAATTTGCAAGGCCAACCTGATTCTGAGTTTTAAATCACTACCCTTAAATTCTCACAAAGGTAGAATTTAAATACTCGGATTTACCTGCAGAGATGGAATTGCATAGGAGTTATGGAGCTTCAAGATAGATGGGACTACAGGAGAATCCTACAACCAGAACATACTTTTGCTAGTCTGCCTAAAACTTTTCCCTTCTCGTTCAATTTCTGTTTCGGTCATCAGAATTGCTCTCTACGACATATAGCTATGATTTTGGTGTGCCTTTGCTTTTCTTTGTTTGTCACAGATTCTTTAATTTTCTCCAAGGTTATTGATTGGAGGCTGTTGACTTGTTCGGTTTGTGTTCTATCACTGTACCTCAATCATTAAGTATAAGTTCAATGCCTGAGCTGTTTGTTCGCATGATAGTCATAGGGTCGGTCTGGGAATTGGAGCTCTGTATGTCAACGAAGGGGCATACAAGGTTTTGGTTGATTTTTTGAGATTATGTTATCTGGATTTAGCGATTTCAGAATACGGATCGTTTGGCTTGGCCTTCTTATGTGGTCTTCCCTGATGGGTAGTTGTTGGATTATCCCCTAGTTTGAGTGGATTCAAGACAACCTGAGTTGGTTCTTTTTGTGGTATGAGTTCTGTTCTTGTTTAGATGATGCAGAAGGATTTTTGATTCTATGGTGATATTACGAAGTTTGTGCTGCAATAGCTATGACAACCCTGATTGGATTTGTTGCTGCTCAGATATGTGCAAGTTAAAG